AACAATGACAATCCGAACTATACTACGCTAGTTGATATTCTCTTGCTTTGGATTATGAAGGAAAACTTAGAAAGACGGTAATAAAAAATTTCGGAAATACGTCATTTAAAATGTTAAGGAAATCTGGAGATTGTGTGGCTCACGACTTTTGGAAAAACCTGATAAAGTATTCAAATCGACCTTCGGAAGAGATCAGGCATCCTCTAAATAGCGAGTTGAATAATTTGTCTACTGAAATCATGCCTCCTTTTGTTCAAGGGGACTGATAATTAAAATTGATATACAAAGTGATAAACGAGGAGAATATGTAGCGTTTCTATTGGTTGAAACGGGCGATTGGAAAGTAGACAAGGGAGGTAAGTGATCCTCTAATAACTAGCGTCAACCCACGCGAGGCCCTATATTGAGTGAATCATTGTTCCCTTTAGTCTACGACAACGACCCTTTTCAACCAGAGGGATCCCTACACTTTTCCTTGGTATTATTTATCTATCAATTTGAATAATCCGCCCGCAGTGTGAAAACTCAATTTTGTCCGATAAATATAGTAGCCAGTGAATCGGAGTTGACTAAATCTCGAAGTGCGCTATGCTGCCACGTGGCAAAGTAGCCAGTGCATCGCTTCGAATGCGAAAAAGTCCGCTGAGTGATTTGCCGCGGCGAGGGTGCCGGTGGTATAACTTCAGGGCGCGTTTCAGCGAGGATTTCCATCCTTAAATTCCGGGAAACCCGCTAATCTGACAACGGTGTGGACGTTGGGGCGGCGCGGCTGTGGCCCTGATTCGCGGCGATCCCACCGAGGAGCCCAGTATTTTTACATGGTTGTTTATTGAGCTTGGCAGTTGGCCACAGCCTCTTTATTATTACCGACAGTCAGAATGTAGATGGGAACCCCCCGTCACCCCCTTGCCGTCCACGCACGGTGTTGCTTATAAGGCCAGAGGTCCACGTATCCCTATCGAATTTCACACCAGTCGGCGCATCTTCGTTCCTTCGCCTATCCTCTGCGAAAAGCAGCCAGAGATCATTTCCGCCCACTGGGGATGATGCAGTGGCGTGGCGTGAGAGATCGATTTCCGATATTTTTTCATTTGAAACTATGGTAAAGAATCGATTATCAAGCGAACACACCCTCTTCATCGATTCTTCTCCATATAGGTTCAAATGGCAGATCAATCGATACATCGCAAAGCACGCCACGCTACTGGAATGATGGATGAAGCCTGTTTCTCTCCTTTTAAGTCGAAAAAAAATGTCATGTTAAAGTTCCCTTGAAGTGGGAAGCAGTTTTGTTGCAGTTGCATAAATTCTAAATGGGTTAGTTGCGTTGGCCACAGAATTGTGTTTTGATGCTTGATTCTTCTACATCAGCTGGAAGTAATGAGATCCGTCCAAACAGCAACTATCTACGTCCAATATTAACCGAGATATCGCCCATAGAAAAGTCGAGTTTATGACGTCATCCACCGCGGTAGTGACATCCTAGGTTTCTTCCACCTTTCTTTCATCAGTCAGTGTGACGCACATTATTTTGCAACGCTTACTCAACGTGAAACTCGAATAAAAGCACGGCGGAGTAAACCAAGGGCGTCACTGCCGCGGTGGATGACGTCAAAACCCCGACTTTATAAGGGTGATATCGCGGTTAATATTGAACGTAGAAAGTTCCTGTTTGGACAGATCTTAATTTTTTTTTTTTTTAGCTAATCTACAGGATTCAATAATTTAACCACGATTCTGATGTGACTAGCGAGACTGACCCATTCACCACGATTTTGCGAACACAAATGCAAGCCGATGCACTTATTTCTGACAAAAACTCACTGTCAATGAAAACTTTCCCGTCTCCTTGATGCTTCGTTTGATGAGGCGCTTTAAGTTACTATTTTAAAATGAGAACATTTTTCTAGGGCACCGACTTGGCAATTGAGCGAAGTTTTGATGGGGGTTAACTGACCCATTCACAGTTTGCACTAACTTGAGATGCGATAGTTCGCGTGTAAACAGTGGAAAACACAAAACGGGTTGAGCGGCGATAGCGCCGCCCATATAGATGGGTGCAGCGTTGCAACTCCATCGTGGCCAACTTATTCACGACCGTCCGGATTTTGTGAGGAGAAAACGCCTTGAAAATATAACCCTAATAAATACAGGACCGTAATAAGGCGCCATTTTGAGACGCTGTGTTTCAACCACATCCATGATGATGCTCGGGGTTTTGACTCGATATACTGAAATGGAACGGATTACGGTGTTTCAGTTCGGGCCTATTAATAGGGTCCATGTTTAGCGAGGCACTTGGTGCGATTTCGGACGAAATTCCAGGGAATTCGCGGAAGTTGTATCGTCGAGAATATCATGGTGTTGAACTTGAAAAATTTCGACAATTTGAGGAAAACAAGATCGCGAGTTGCAATTTAATAATGTTAACATCCTGATTCTTGGGGGATATGCGTTTGGATTACAAAGATTAGCGATGAACGGCTACTGACTATATATCGCATGTATTAAAATAAGTAAAGAATTCAGAGAGTTTAATCGTAAAGTTCCAACAAATTCGTCCTCTTCCAAGAATTAGGACACAGTTTTTGATGATTTTTTTTCGACAATCATTAAGATATTTTAGCAATTCTGAGACCAAAATATTCCTCACTTGAAAAAAACTGTAATTCCGTGCTTCCTGATTTACCAGTTAATTCAACGGATGTATTCAATTTAGCTCTTCACGAAGAGGAAAAGATAATGACTTAGTTACGTACCTGGATGCACTCATAAGTCTCCAAATGTACTGTTTGTAAAATTTTAATTTACTGAAGTATACCTCGAACATGAAGAATTCTGTTGTGGTAGGTGAGAAAATTTACGTTTAAGCTTGAAAAAGCGGAATTTGTGTTTAACAACATACCCCAGGAACGTCATTCCCCTCCTTGAAGACAGGAGGATTATTAATCTTTATGATCCCTACCTTCGTTTTAGAATGTGAGCTTGTAAGTTGGATCGTGCGTCCCATAAAGACTGGATTCATGGTCCGCTTTTAGGACGGCTTCTTGTCATATGGAGACCGCATCAGGTTGGCACTGTATGAGTGTTCAGGGGGCTGTTGGAGGCCTTTTGCATCAGTGGCGCGGCGTGCTTTGTGATGTATCGATTGATATGCCATTTCAACTCGCACCTGAAGATACGTTCAACACTCGTAATGACCACCGTGTATTCGAAATAACCATCAACAAAAGATCGGATCGGGACCAAACTTAAGTCGACACAAAAGATTATGACATCCGACGACGTGCAAAAACCCCTGGAAATCTTCGTTACCATGGCTTCATATGGGGGAAAATCGATAATCGATCAATCACGCCTCGCTATTGATTTGCAACGTTAAAAAAAGTGAAATTAGAACGTTTAGAAAATAAATAAAACAGTTTAAGTTGGGAAATAAATTCTTGCAGATATTAAATTTATATCCGCAATTTGAAAAAATCAAAACATTGAGAGAAAATCCTTGATTTAAAGACGCACGCACGAGGGGAATCGCATCCCTCCCCCATGAAGTATTTTCTCTCATATTGTGTATTATTCGGCGATGGCAGATCTTTCTAACGCAATGCAAGGATCTAATTATGCAAATTATACTGTTGAATGCAGCTCAACCTCCTTAAGCTCCAGCTTAGGATAGTGTTTTGAACGCTTCTTAGACCCCCCCCCCCCTTAAAACTAGGCCACGCGACGGAAATGCATGAGCTGTTCGCAGATCGACTTAGAATCCGGCACCGAGACCTGTGAATCAGCTATTCACTTAATGCTTTGCAGATGCTAGACATTACTGCTTTAATTTGAATTTGAGTTTTACGTTTTTAGGTTTTACAGTCAAGTGTTCTGCTTCGTTCCAAGAGGGGCTCCCACCTCCAGGAGCTGGATGAATTAACGGTTTGCGCTTCAAGACGTTTTTAAGTTTGCCATCAATGTCGTGTAACAGACGATACGACTATGAACTGTATAATTTGATCGAATTAGTGATGTGTTTCTATAGTTTGTAACGCATGCGATTTTCAAACGTTTGGTATTCACGCTCCGTTAGCTTGGTTAGCATTTGGCGAAGATTTTCACTTACATAGCCTGCGCTTTAGGGTTTCCTTTAAAATTTGAAGAGCGTTTTCCGCAGTCCCACAACAAATTTAAGTTGCGTTGACGCAATTGAATGAATAATTAAAGATGAGATCGGCGATTGACGATTCAAGAACTCAAATCGATGAGCAGCCAAGGAATGATAAAATGTGATGCGTTGCTGTTGATAATTACCTACCTGTTAAAAACTGCCTTGGCGAAAGATCATTCCTGATTGAGGCACGTGAAGCGTCCGTTAAATCCTGCTCTTTATGATTAACTTTCCATGGCCGGCTAGTATTAACTACATCCGAGACTTTCGATAATCACCGCAATATCTAGTCGACTTCCTGGATGCGTAGATAACAGCACATCTAAAAGTCACCCATCACGAGTTCTACAACATGAACAATTTTTTAATATGCTCTGGCGCTAAAACTTGATCTGAAAACAGAACAAAACAAAAATTAATGGAACACTTCCAGTGATTGATACCAGAACTGGAACGACAAACACAATTTCGTACAGTATTCTTGGTCGGTCCATCCTTGATGGATCTACAAAATAATAAGAAAACGCCCTTCTCCAGAGTTGGAGGAAAATGGCAAAAACTTTGAAACAATATTGGTACAATAATTGAATTAAATAGCGCACGACACACTAAAGATGATTCTAGGAAAACTAAAGTAGTTCCAGCCGATTGCACTGCCATTTACATGCTGTTTTACGCATAGTTAACTTCGCACATAACTCGGTAATGATTTTTTTCTGACTCTTTTTTGAACTTGCATTGTATTCTTTCGGCATTTTTTCAATGCATGAATCAATCTTAAAACTAGCATGTAACAGGGCACACAGAACACAACATTCTAATGAAACAATTTTCTAATTTACAGGGCCGACGGTGGCGATCCAGAATTCGTGAAAGTAAGTAAACAATAAAACAACATAAACTTTTTCCAGTGATGAAAGAGAGCAATCCGGAGTTCAAGAGTGCAATACAATATTTGAAGCAAAGTTTAAAATTACATAAATCAGAAATAAACAGCTACAAATTACAAGCAAATCTCTCATTCAACGCACCCCTAATTTTGCCGAGAATGCAATTTATCTTCGGTAAAAATAAATGGATCAAAGGTAACATGTTTTTAAAGTGCGTTAGTGTCATTCGCAGTGAATACCTTAGATAGAATGTCGCACAAGCAAAACTAGTTGCGAACACCAGGATGCTCGAAAAAAATCATGCTTGTGAGTGCATCTGAGCACCTTAATAAAGCCAGTACTTCAGCGAGTCAAAATTGACAAAAAATGTACTTTTTAATCCATAATATATGAAAGAGACTGCCCAAAAATACGTAAAACAGCGTTACGTATCTATTCTTCTGATCTAATCCGTCATTTTTACTATTTTTTACAGCGCCAAGAGGCCAAATCATCAGCATTAGACGAGCAACTTAAAGAATACATTGCAGAATGGAGGAAACAACGCTCCAAAGAAGAAGAAGATCTCAAAAAATTAAAAGAAAAACAGGCCAAACGCAAGGTATCAATTTTATTTGAATCTCTGTTCAATCAGTCGTAATAATCCCCAGCTTCTCCGGATTTTTGAAAAATTCCTGAAAGGGTTGATGCATTGTGTTTCAATCCCAGAGCAAATGCTAAACGGGCGGAAATGTTTAAGCTAATGGCAATTGCTTTAATTGAAAGACCTCCTTATTAGAAATACCAACATTGAAAGTCGTTAAGAAATGAAAGCAATGGTAAATTCTGTAAAAAGTAAAGGAAGACAAAAAGAAGTACAGAGATAAACACATTTTCTTGAGTTGGACGAAAAACCAAAAATAAGTCACTATTCCGCGGCTAACAATAAATCCAAAAAATAAAAACAGAATTTATACTGGAGTTGAACTCGAATGATCGAGAGGAGAATTCCGTCATTTTCAGGAACTTCGCGTGTCTTGTAATTTAGGGACTGCAGAAGGTCTGACAAGGAGATAATCAACAATTAGTTATAACTTGATAACTTCTCTATTGTGTCGTGTGCGTGCGCTTTTATTTTCACACAAACCCCGCAATATCCCATTTTGACGAGCATGTATACTACTACATTAGTACAGGAGAATTTAAATGATGTAGTTAAGAGTGTCAAGTTGGGCGAAGGAACGGTTGCATATGAGAGCGCTGGAAAACACTCTCGGCAGTTCGCCTGCAATTTCGTCTGATACCTCCAGCGCCTACTTGAGAGCCCGAATAGTTGCATCATCCATAAATACAGCTGTATCTCCATGGCTTTGCTTTGTTCGAGACCATATTCATAACTGCACTACATTTGGAAAGTTAAAACCACTATTTCTGGCTCGATAAAAAAAAACAAAAAAAAACAAAAAAACAAAAAAAAACAAAAAAACAAAAAAAAACAAAAAAAACCAATCAAACAAACATACAAGACATTAATAGGTATTCCGATGCAGATAAATGCTTTTTAGGATGAGCCGGAGATAGAGTGGTTCATTTTCTCGTCAATAAGACCAGACTTCCGAGGGGGGAAAAGACAGTAAACGGGATCTTCAATCATAAATGTCGTGAAACTAAATTTACAACTTGTCACTTTGCTGTTATCCGTGTTTAAAAAAAACAAGGATTTGAATTTAACGACTGGCAAAAAAGGTATATTTGGGTCTTGAGCAATTGCAAGCAAACAATACCGTTCTTCAATACACGGAGAAGTCTACGTCCGGTTCATTTTTGAAACACCTGAAGTGCTATTAAATACCTCCTGCATAAGAGTGATTTTAAGCACCGCTAAAAATACAGGCGCACCTTATTGGTTAGTCTGTTTGGACTCCGAATAACCAAAGTGATATGAGTGCAGATCGGAACCTGCTCTGATCACGAAATGAGCTCTGCTCCTCCACAGCACGGGCACGCCCGTTGGAGGGAGCGCATTCCACTCCTCATTCCTATCACTCAGGTTTTCGGGGTACAAATTAGAATGGGATTTACTCCAAGATTTTTAACAGTGTGAATGGTTACATGTTCAAAACACGAGGAAGTCAGATGAACGGTATTTCCAGTGTTCGAAACTCACTTTTGAGTTTTAGGAGTCATGTGGCGAGCATCAAGCCCGATTTTTAGGCGCCATTGAAAATTTTTTAGGGGCCAAATTGACTTTTTGCCTATATATTACGACGCATTTGGTGAAAAGTTAGACGCAATATGTTTTCGTAACAGAACTAGTCAGTAGCTGTAACTTGGGGAAGACAAAAGCACAAATGATATCGTGAAGAATAGAAAGAGCTTTCACTTGTGGTGCTGAAAATTTCGAATAATCACCTAATATGAAAATTCAGATTATTAGGGGCCACGCTAGCGCAGAGCCTTCATTTTTTAGGCGCCATGGCCGATTTTTTAGGCGCATTTGGCGCGTTGACGCCTGTGAGTTTCGAACACTGGGTATTTCATTAACAGGTCTGAGCATTTGTGCGATTTTGTGATGAACCTTGTTTCATTTAAATTGGTGCGTTTCTTTCACAGGTTATGCGGGCAGAAGAAGAGAAACGTATGGCCGAAAGGAAGAAGCAAGAGGAAGAGAGGAGGCAGCGAGAGGTAGAGGAGAAGAAACAGAGAGACATCGAGGAGAAGCGCCGGCGCCTGGAAGAGGCCGAAAAGAAACGACAGGCCATGATGGCCGCTTTGAAGGTATTAGTACCGAAATAGGTGTTATTTAGGGAACATATGGGACAGCTTCTCTAAATATTACGGAATGGATTGGCGTCTGCTATCTCTGTACCCCACCACTTTGGCGAAGCAACGGCCGAAAGAGTAGCGCCTCGTAGTGATCACTATCCTCAATCTCCATCGCGCCGAATTCGCGGGGGTAAACGGCCTCTCGAGTGCGCGGTTTCGTCCGCATCGGCGGATCCAGCAAATTGGCAACACTGCCTTTTCTTCACTTAAACCTATGGAGATGTATCGATCCTTGGAGGGGCCAGGTGCTCCGACAAGAATCGATTATTTAGCATGGGTTTAAATGGGGAAATCCAGAGTTGTCAAATTGCTGGATCCGCCTCTGTTCGTGCGAATCTCGCATTTGACGCTCTTTATCTCCGTCCACTATCACTGAGTCGAATGTTGTGTCTCATGAGAACATCTGCATCGCGAGAAATGAGATTAATCCGCCGAACCTAGCTGAATAGCCCGGCTTCTCGCAGGTACACCGAGGTCAGCGAAAAGGAACAAAATAGTTTTGAAAAAGTCACTGATGAAAAAACTGGAAGTTAGGTTAGGTTAGGTAAGCGGTTACATGAATTTAAAGGTGGAGTTAAAGGTTTGATATCGAGGGAATAGCCCCAGGACAAGATATGAAAGAAAGCACCTCGCAGCATGATTTCTCATCAAAATTTCGCGAGGAAACCGGATCACACGCCAAGAAGTCTTATCAAAACCTACACAGATTTGAAAGTTTAAAGTTTATATTGTTTTAATGGCTAAACTAAGAATGATGCCATTTTTAAATTGTAACTTCAATTCGATCTGAGTAAAGTGGCAAAACTTCAAACGGCGCCATTTGAATTCCAATCGCTTTGTGTTCAGAATACTTGTCTGCATTGAATAGGCGTTGTCTTCTGAACTTCCCGTTCTGTGAATCGTTGTCTGCGTCAAGTTTTGAAGAGAATACATGTGATATCATTTTCTGGTTCGGATCTTGACTGGTGGCCCATTCCCTGCCTTCCGGATCAGTGGCGTGGCGTGCTTTGCGATGTATCGACTGATCTGCCATTTAAACATGTGGAAAAGGATAGATTGTTAGGGTGTTCGCAACGAACACCCTAACAATCGATTCTTTACCATAGCTTCAAATGGGGAAATACCGATATATATCGAAGCATGCCGCGCCACTGTTCCGGATCAATGAGAGGTAGCAAAAATGCAATCGAACCAGGAGGCAACCTGAAGTACAGTGACACTACTTCCATACATGCAATTTTCTCCTGATTTTGGGATAATTTTTCTTCTTCTCCGACTTATCTCGGTAATTCCAGACTCGGAACGCTCAGCGTGTGATTCGGCGAGTTGTTTCAAAGAATACTTGTTTCCGGGTTAATTTTGCGAAGAAACTGAGCAAGACAGCTCATCTTTCCATGCGGGTATGGAGGGATCATGAGCCCAGGCTTGTTGGCTCCGCGCATTAATACGTTTCTGGATTTGAGTTATCTTGCCGGCGGTTCTTCTGAGAGCACAATATTTCGTCTCAGTGATTCTTCATCACATCAAACAGAGATGGCCACAACACACAGGCAGTAACACTGTCGTACAAAGCTATGCCAAAGAGACGGTGCTGGTCGTCCGAGAGGCAAGATGGAAACAGAGCGTCAAAAAGCAGACCATAATGATGTTCACTCTAGAGATGTCACAGATCCTCGAGCATTTAATCGGTAGAATAAATGCGGTTAAATGAGTGAAAGCTAAAAGTGGACGTGAGAGAATTTAGGGACATTCATTGGGAAAATGGCTAGTCAAGATTAATACTATTACCTTTTCTTAGAATTAATGGGCCAGGTTCTCGAAACAAGTGAAAACATCATCCAGTAAAATGACCAGTTGAACACTTATCAACTCAATAAAAATAATCCTTTTCTTAAAAGGGGAAATTCTCAATAACACCTTTCAAAGAGACAAAACAGTGGCTGTTGCTGCAGCTTAATACAATATTTGAGTCATTCAAAAGAACGTGCGATAGATAAGTCAGAGACTTACACATTTAGAGAAAATTGAAATTAAGGTATTCTCCACTGTTAACGCACCATAATAATAACCACAGTAGGTTACATTCCCAACACATAATTCAAACACCCAAGTACAATAATTGTCCGAAAATATTCCTGTAGAATCCCAATAGATATGCGTAGCTATTGCGTTAAAGATGTTTTAAGTAGAATGCTCCTTACTTTAATGTCACGTTTCCTCTTACAAGCACCGTTTTATTATTACCAAAGTTTGATCTAGAAGGGATATGATCACATCTGAATTTATCGAAGTAAAGGGTCCGAGAGGAGCAGAACTCAAACCACTTTTTCCGCAGATCATACTTTGGGATTAATGAAACGTGGGCAGATTCAGATACCCGCATGTTCTTGTTACGATTGAATGTGAAGTGATTTAAATTGAAGTTTAACGTAGAGTATTTAATATTGAACACCCATATTATCACGTTTTTAGAAGTAATATCCATTTGGTCTTATGTTCGTAAAGTAGTTACCATTACCCTATGCTCGATCAGTAGTTACCATTAGTAATGTTACATCCAACATTGGCATGACCTCCTGATAAGTAGTTAATTCATTTGGTACCTTGTTAGAGAATCCCGCATGAAGTAAAGAAACTTAGTCCTTTCAGGTACTTGTCGTAGTAGTAGTACCAGTAGTAGTCAACATTTAGAAACTATTTCAGTCACCGATGGCGAGCACACCAGGTAATTTAAATTCTCCGTGAAAAGAAGCTGTCATGCGTAAAAAATTGTTCATCCTTATTTATTTTTCGCAAAAACGAGAAATAGGAAGAGCAAGCTTCACGCGTAAAGAGAATTTGCGAGTGAAAGGCAGCACAGTATTAGGATCGATGGGCCCTATCGAGGTAAAAATGAAAATAAAAACAAATAATGACAACAGCAAATTTTGAAAGGAAGAGGAGAGAAGAAAATACTTGCAAAGAAAGAAAAGAGAGCCGAGAAAAATATCGGAAAAGCTAGTTACAATAAGTGCACAAATTTGCAAAAACTGACTACCATTCAGGGATTGGGAATGCGAGGGCCCGGAAGGTAGAATTTGCAGAACGAGGATTCTTTTGAAGAGAAAAGTTAAGTACTAAATGAAACTAGGGAGATAGAAATTGCAGGAGAAACAATGCCTACAAGAATATTACCTAAGGTGAACTTTTACGATGGAGAAAACAGCTGCCCAAAATCTGAGCGATCACAGAATACAACAAGGAGAATCCATTCCGATTAAAAAAAGGTTGATATTGGGGAGATAAAAAGTGCAAGAGGTCGTTCAAGAGGAGGGCCGTGAGAATGATGTGAAGGCTGAATGAAGGAAACTTAGGGTTCGGTTAATTATTTTAACGCAACCGCAAGAATACAGGAAACAGAAGCCAACTGGTATACTTTTGAATTTGTTGTATAAGAAACACTGAGGAGTTGAGTGAGGGACAGACTTCGGCTCATGTTGGACATTGAAATTTTTCGTTTCAAGCTATGGAAGTTGTCGGTATTCGGAACCGGAATAATTCGATTTCTAAGACTGGAACTAAGGTTAAATGGACCGTAAAAGTTTGATGTTTAATAAATGCCGAATTTCAGTCCCTATACAAGCAACTGACTGTCTTTGAGTGCTCCTGCAGGAATACGCAATTTCAGCTTGGTATCAGTGCCTAAGTATCAACTATAAGTCAGAAACTTCGTAAAGTAAAATTTAAAATTTGAACCTGCAGTTTCCTGACATTCTCCGAACTGCTTTCTCATCGGGTTTTAATGGGACAGTTAGGTCTAGATTTGAGTCAAGTGCTAAGTGTTGCAGACCTTGCAGGACCATGATTAATGGGCTTCGCCCTTTTCTACTTACAGGACCAAAGCAAAAACAAAGGACCCAACTTCACCATTGCCAAGAAAGCAGACCCTGGTGTAAGTATTTCTGACACATTAAAATAATTTTTTCACGACTTCAGTGATGCATTATGTCGGGATGAGTGGGAGAAAAGAGAGACAAAACAGAATCACAGCTATGTTATCTTAAACTGCGTATAAAAGAGTTGATGGAAAATTGACTCTTCAGCCGAAGTCACTCGCTTCCACGAGAGAATAAATACAGTGAACCTTAGAATTTAAATATTACACGCTAGGCATGATTCAGTCTCTTCACCTGTAAAGGGGGGGGGGGGCGCTAAGAAATTATTCAAACAAATTCAGTCTCAGAATCTCATGACACGAGTCCCCCGGGATAAAGAGAAATTAAAAGCGACAAATTGAGTATGCATTTATGCAATATCTGGGACGAATATTGAAAAACCTAATGTGAAGAAAGAAACCCCATCAAGGTACTCTCATTTTTGGAATTTAGAAGAGATATTATAGATGGAACACTTTTGTATCCTGTAACAGAAAATTCTATTATTTAAATTTAATTTTATCATTCAATTAAAATTGTATCATTCCTCTTGCTGTGCTTTGACAACTTAGATTTAAAAAAATCGCAAATTAATTTCTCTTTCTTTTTTTCATTGATCCTCTTTACAGATGAGCTTATCCTCCGCACAGTTAGAACGTAATAAAACAAAGGAACAAATAGAAGAAGAAAAGAAGATTTCACTTAGTTTCAGAATTAAACCTCTTAACCTGGAAGGTTACAGCATCCACAAATTACAAGCCAAAGCTACAGAACTGTGGGAAACTATTGTCAAGTTGGAAACCGAAAAGTACGATTTAGAAGAAAGACAAAAGAGGCAAGATTATGACGTAAGTATTTGAGTTTTTTACTCAATTCATAAATAAGAATAAAAACACCAGAACAAAATCTTTCATATGAAACGGCGCATTGATAAGTTCAAAATTAACATCTGAACTTTCGCTAGTGGGGGTTCTGTTTAATTCCTTGAAGGACGGAAAGTTAAAAGCTTTATTTCTCATTGCGGGAGAGAACTTCATCAAACGGAGCAAGTAAAAAACAGCTAACTTTCTAGGAGGCATCAAAACGGATTGTTTAAAAAGACATCACATATTGCTACCGGCCCTTCACAAATACATAGTGAAGTACTTGTAGAGCCGCGAATCCAAGAGACAATAACAAATAGCTATAATACAAAAACCGTCTGAACAATAGAAAAATCCAAAACAATTCAATCTACAATTAAAGAGCATAACGTCGCGCATATAATCTTTGGAGCATTGAAAAGTTCTTTATACTGACAAAGTTGTTCGACTTATTCCGCTGGATCAAACAAGGCCTAACACAAAGTCAGTCTCATGGAGTTTCACATTATTCAAGAGTATGCTACTTATAAGATTTCTAAAAATCTCCATTCAATTATTTACATGACTTTAAACAAGATGCTTTCTTTTTTGTCTAGTTGAAAGAACTGAAGGAAAGACAAAAGCAACAGCTCAGGCATAAAGCTTTAAAGAAAGGTCTGGACCCAGAGTAAGTACCCGAAGTGTTACTCAATTATAAATTTACGAGATGTGAGCCAGGTTTCAGGACATTTTGTCAACGATTTTTTGTCCGCGCACCTTTTTTGTCAAGTAGTTTACGCCCACACGTAAAATAGGCAACGGTGACTTGGTCCAAGTGTTATATTTTAGTCTGTATGTAAAATTATATTAACAATATGGAAATGAGAAATTGAGAGAGAAGGAGGTGTTGCTACGGTTACTCATTTTCTAAATGAAATGTTATTACTTTCTCCTTCTGAATCATCTTTTTAAATTGTAATTGGAGAATATTTGGTTTTATTTCTATCTATTTCATTTCTATATAGTTAGTTAGTATATTTTGAGACATTCAGCGTCACAGGCTATTAACGCCTTAACAGAGAATTTTGAAAATGGGAGTATATACGAAAATTTAGATTTTTAAATTAAGAGAGGTGAAGAGTTTCAGAATTTTGGTAGTAATATTCGGTTCATCATATTCGATGTGCAATATACCTTATATATGTATAGGTACTTTTTTTTAAGTTGTTTCTTTACGAAATAATTACTTCATTTTGAAAACATTTATATTTTTAAAACGTGACAAATATTTGTAAATCCGCTTCCAAGCGTCATTAATCTCAATAAACAGCAGTTGTGCCGACAGAAACTGCAAAAATGGATACAACACGGAAAAAAAACCAAGAAGCACGCAATCTTTAGTTTTAACCCATTTGTACATCGATCTTTTAGAGTCAAATACGTCTAATTTTGAGCGTTTGGTCGCGCGTACACCTCGCTGCAGCACAATAAAAACACAAAATGTAAAAGAAGATTAAAAGGCTTGTGAAATCATTAAATTTGACGCGGAACCACGAATATCTAAAAAACACACATAATATTATTATTCTCCTTTGATAAATTGATACATATTTTTTTCCCATCAATTTAAATGGGAATAATCGATGCAGAGTGTGCCAACATTTCAAAATCATGAGTTAAAAACGCTGACTATGCGAGTATAAATATTAAAACCGAACAGAGTGGAGCGGCGAGCTGCCAGCGTGAGAGACTCACGGGCCCCTACAAACCTAAGTCGATACTTCACGCATTGCACAATGCTTGAAGTATCCACTTAGGTTTGTAGGCGCCAATGCGCGTTCCGCGCTGGCCGCCCGCCCGCCGTGCGGCGGCGCCTGAAGCAACTATTACACAACAGAGGTGTTGCACAGTATTATACGAAATTGAACGCATTAAGAATGACAGGCATCCTGTAAAAGTACAGATTTTTCCTCGCAAAATAAATCAATATACTTATCGTACACAGGAAAAATCTAAAAGCCATTAGCTGAGGCAAATTTAGAGGTTTATCCACTTCAGGTATAACAACATGGGAATTTCTTGAAAGATGATTAAGTCCTGTTACATCAAAGAGGTGTAGGGAGTTTTAGTGAATTTTGTCTCATGGAATTGACGCTCCCCCATTTTTACCAAAACTCTCAACTATATATTATTCTCCGTTGGACCGAACAGACAAAACAAAAAAACAAGCAAATCCTCATTCTTCCAAGACGCTATATATTTTCATCCAAAAACGTCGTGAGCAGTTGTCGTTGGTATTTACACGTGGGCCAATTAACTTCGGGTCTCAACTGGCTCGTGGACCAAAACTCCCATGCCGAAAAAACGCGTGGACGGAAATTATTGGAAAAAACAGGTGCGCGTCCGCGCACCTGTTTTTTCCAATAATTTACGTTGACGAAATGTCCTATAAGCGTGAGCCATAACACGAAGAGAAGTAAAAAAACCGTAAATGGGAGAAAGTACGTGAAAATACTACAAATAACTAACATTGAACATGTAAATTCAGTGAAGATTCAAATCAGTACCGTCTTACTTTTGAATGCTTGGATAAATTGAAGATTCTGGTTGAATAAATGGACCCCGCACACTCCTTACGGGCATGTGTACCACGATCGATTTGTAATTATTTTATAATCGTCTGCGGATGCTCATCCAAAGTCCTAATGGAGATGTTGCATGTGTGAGGAATTTGCGATTTGACTGTTGATTCTTATGTAAAAGTTCGTGAGAAATACGATGGTGCCACTGGTTTTCTATGAAATCAACTCCCAAGCTCAAACAAAGCTCTCAAGTTGAGGCCAAAATGGAGGGGATATCCCACCCTACCCTGAGAGTCCACCTCTACATCAAGACAAACTCTCCATGCAAGGATAGAGAGCAAATACATTGACAGGGCTGCCACTTTATTTGGGGACTCGAAAACTGAAAACACGGCAACCCTGCTAGTGTATTTGCTTCTTATCTTTGCGTGGAGAGTTTGTCTTGATGTAGAGGTGGACTCAGGGTGGGATATCCCCTCCATTTTGGCCTCAACTTGAGAGCTTTTTTCGAGCTTGGGAGTTGATTTCAGAGAAAACCAGTGGCACCATCGTGTTTTTCACGAACTTTTACATAAGAATCAACAGTCAAACCGCAAATTCCTCGCGCATGCAACATCTCCATTCCGCCAGCTTTCTACGAGCCACCGTTTTTGCGCTGACATACGCTTTTTAAGTTTCGGTAATTTCCAGGACAGGCCGGCTAAAATCAAAATGCAATGCGTGTCAGTCTAGTAAGGACAATTAATAGAGTGGGAGAGTGAAAGAAACTGATTTAAACGGTGAAAAGAAAAGGCGTGTAATATCCAATATGAGACTGTCGGTCGGATGCTGATCGGTTTTCCTGATTACAAGATTTACACTCACCCGACCGCTTGAACCGTACTCGAGTTAACTGTGCCTCATGGACAGTTGGCGCAATAGTGACTTTTGATCAGCATCAATGGACAAATAAAAAAAATAAAAAATCGATCATGGTACACATCCCCATGAGGAGTGTACGGGGTCCTTTGTCAAAAATTACGAGAGCGAACAAAATTTCCAAAAGGGCCAATATTTTGAAAGACCAATATTTTGGTAGATAGCTTTTAGTACAAAGCAAAACATAGTTCACTGACGAAAAAGTTCCCCACTAGTGCGTCATAAGGCGGCGCCAACAATTGGGAATCAGTTGCGCTCAAAATGCCCAAGAGGAGAGCCGGCGAAACACTTCCACATATCCATATCAATTTACGATTTTTATCAATTTTACCAGGCGTCTTAATTGTTCATCCCAATAACACTAGTGTCCCATTAAATAAGCTGGTAGAGAACAAGATTGCTTTACATGAAGGCAGTGCTAAAAATATTGGGCTATACACTTGAGATGAGATTGCCTTGATATATTGATCATCTACAAGATTGATATCTTGCCGGATGTACTGTATCCCAAAATTTAGCAACACTTTCACCAATCGTCTATACGCAATGGATGATTACGTCAAAATTTTTCATGAAATCATTCACAGCTAAGCCACTAATTCCATCTATTTTTTCTTTTCATTTTTCAGAGCTCTCACCGGTAAATACCCTGTAAGTACTTTTGACGCATTACTTCTTCTTTGCTGCTTAGAATATTTTTTTTAAACACGAGAAATACAGAAAAGAACCAATACCATCAAAATATTTTAGACTCTCTGGAAAAACGTGCAATTATAAATGTGTACATCCAGTTAGAACGGCGCAGATCGTAGAGGACGAATAACGGAGTGTTGAAAGAGTACTTTGTTACGGTGCATGAACCTATCTCGGAATATGATATATGATTATTACGCATTTCTTTAAAAAAAAATAAAAAAAAAACCATTCCTCCACTGAACCACATAACGTGAACCTATTTCCAAAATGTATTTGAATGCTAAGGATATCTATTTTAATAGACACCGAGATAGCAATGTGGTTGGCACGAATTCACTCGATTTGAGTATGTCAAGGCAAAAAGAACACCTGTCGAGTTCGTGGATTAAATTTTACACTGATACTAGAAAATCCAGTCTTGGAGGGTAAGATCAACAAAACGTCGCAGTTGCGCGTTTTCGAAAATAACTCTCATTAATTCTCTAGTAATTCTGAATAATTTCTTACTTTTCAGCCTAAAATTCAAGTAGCGTCAAAATATGAACGTCGTGTGGATACCCGATCATACGATGACAAGAAACAGCTGTTCGAAGGCGTAAGTTGACAATTCAATAACTTCAACTAAAACTTACAGCCATCCGCATACGTACCATGGGCGGAACTAGGAATTTTTTGTGGGGGGAGGGCACAGAAGGATATATGACTTGGGCTAAGGGGGGTCTGGGGGACTCCCCCAGCTGCAGAGGGCGTTCGGGGGGTCTCCCCCGGAAAATTTTTGAAAATAAGAACGTCTTGGGAGCAATTTAAAAGCCATTCTCAATGACAAATTAAATGGAATTAAATATTACAGATGACAGAAATTTTGCTGACTTGTTTCCAAAAATATCATAACTTACTGTTGGTTTTAATTGAATATATCTTAATTTAACTCTCATGAAAACAAGTATTGCGCTAAAGTGCGCGAAAAACCACAACCGGATACAGTCAAACTGCATTCCATGTTCCTCACTCGGAGGAAGCTGCTTTCTTTGCGAATAATTTTCATTTTTCTGACATCTTTGATCGATTACATTAAGATTAAGCTCATATTTATTACATTCCACATGCCTTTTACCTCAAAGTGAATTAGTAGTTTGGGTCCTTGACAATTTTGAAACGGGCCGAGCAGCATTGTGGGGGGGGGGGGGGGTCCCCCCATTTCCGCCCCTGGTACGTACTAGTATTTAATAACCAAATGCTCAAACGATGCATTGCATAAACATGTGTATGCTCAGAGCTGCCAGTTCAGAGAGGGTAGTCGATTGGCAGATATACCGGAGTGAAAAGCTATGCTTAAAATATTCTATATTGGCTGAAAGAAAAATCAATTTCATGAAGGATTATCACAAATTACGTGGGAAAAAAGCAATTACGGTCGTATCATTGATTCTGTAATCCTCGCAGCATCGTTCCCGTGCTAGAAGAATTGGCACAAAATAGAACAGTGGTTCTCATCCGGTGGCCCACGGGCTCGTGTTTTGTTGTACTTAAAAGCCTTCAAACATTATTTTGTTCTCTCTCACATTTTTCCGAACTGGCAAAATTTCTTTTTGGAATGGGAAACCCCTAAAAAGTGAAGCAGCCTTGAAACGACGACCATGGTTACAAAATGCAGACAACGCTGTCTTCGATTATTATCAAACTGCAATTCAGGACGACCTAAGTATCATGAGAAAGTTAATGGTGGAGTTATCATAAGGAGAAATGAAATGTTTACATCTCCGACCCGAAAATCAAATGAAACCTAACACTTCCATTTAATTCTGAAATGTTCATGTGTACATGAAGAGAGAAACACATAAGAAAAAAACGTTGACTTTCATTGATGGCCTTCGGCTGCGGGTTGGTCCGCGGCCAAAAGAGGTTGAGAACTGCTGTAATGTAGGTGCCGCGAACGAAGTGGACACAGGAGAAATTAAGAAAAACATAATTTCAACGGAAAAATAGGGGAACAGTTGAAATTTAAACTCTTTGTATAGATAAGCGAGCTGATTACAATGGGTCAACCATATTACTGAATTCACATGATATGATCTGAAAGTTGATTTGTTCACTAGCGATATTTATAGTGTCAAATTTGACTAGTTCAGTAAAAATCCCCTTCCATCGGCGATATGAATCTTATTTCAGAGGAGACGCAAAATAGGAGCCATATGATTTTCAATAACTGGTGTAAGAGGTCTGTGAGAGATAAATGCGAGGATTTAAAGGCACTAAATCATGACGAGCGCAATAGTCTGATATTCCGCACGAAGTTTTCAAAAATTACACCTCGTCCAAGGGCACTTTTTTCGTCGTAGTCGGCAAAAGGGTTCTACGACTGATAGTGCAATTAACCAGTGGATCACTCCTCTGAGATAGGAGCTATCACCGTCAACACAAAAAAAATTAAATCACCAATGGTTTCACTTTCTTCTTCCAGCGCTTAAGCAATACGCCTTCAGTAATTCACCGTGTGCACTTGAACGGCTTTGCTTCCCTAATTGCAAAACTTACGGGACTTCAAACCACCAAACCCTTTCCTGCTTAACAAACTTACAATTTTTCGCTTACTTGTGATTTAATACTTCTTGTGCGCCCATGCCAAGTATTTCAATACGGTTATCCCATGATGTTTTGATGATCTAATTCGTAGCTTGATATGGTTTATGGTTTGCGCCTGACATGAATACAGCAGACGCTACTTTGTATTAAAGTAATGACACCATTTTTAAGGAGAAAGAAACAAGGAACATCACACACTACAGAATTTTTATGATACTCCTGGCAGTATCGTAGTCAATCTTGGAATAGCGTATTTTATTCAGGAGGCCCGTATGATTTACCATCTAATGAAAGAAGGTTTCAGAGGAAGAGGAATTGTAACAGTGTCAGAAGAAGTGCATTTTTTGAGACAGGTAAATTCGCTTGCGTTTACTCAAGGTGGTTTCAAGCGGCAATTTACAGTCTCGTAGTGATTTCAGGGAAAATAAAGATATTAGAGGGTTCAGCAAATTTAGATTTCAGGGTAAAAAAGTATTACAAGGTTCCGCTAATTTAATAATCGATCCTCAGCCCATAAAATTCAACAGCTTGTTTCATACTTTTGAAATTTTTCTCCCCTGAAGTTTCAATTTCCTAAAAAATTGATTTACGATTTTATAAGATAATCCACACAAGCTTCCTTTCACCGCCGATACTCACAAAAAACTTACAACGGCTTTTCTCAGAGAAGACGACTGTTGAGTAATAACTAGAATATGGATACCCTACAACGGCTTTTCTCTGAGAAGACAGCTGTTGATTAATAACTAGAATATGCATACGGTCTGTGCTTATGATTAAGAGATCTCTTCATCATTAGCATGTTCTCGAGAACATCCTGAAAAAATTCGGAAGAAGCTGAAAATCTCCCGATAATATATTTATTCTTGAAAAGGCATACGATTGTTATTCGACTTCAAACTTTAGATACTTTAATTGCGATGTCGGAGAAAATTCACTTAAACATTTTTTTTTTTGGGGGGGGGGGGATGATGATGATGATTGTTAAAGAGTTTCCCTGAAAATGTATAGTTTATCGAGGGAAATTTGGCGAAGTCAAATTGCGCTTCCTCAGCACGGGAGCGATCATTACAAAAGGGGTGATACGACTATATCAACTCCTGCGTAGTCGAAATCACATAGCCGCAAATACGAAGGAGCGCTTCTGCGCTGCGCGCTTCAGTGAAAGTTGAACGAACCTCTGGAAACTAGTTTCCTTTAGAAGTTTTTTTAACTGAACTAAAACGATGAAATTTACTTTTGAAGGGTTGGGAAAATACGTATGCAGAGTTCGTGGAGTACAAATGGCAAGAGAAACAAGACCGATTCGCCAAGCGAAAGAAGAGTAAGTACGGTGATGCCATTGTTTGCTCGCAAGAGAAACATGTTTAGAGAAAAGTTCTGCGTTGAATTTTGGCCTTGCGACGTGGACGATGAATGTTACGGATTTTTCTTAGAGGAAAAATCCGTTGGAATGATTTCATGTATGTTTCATGTGGCACTGTATTTTTTAGAGATAAATTCATTTGAATGATTACATGTACATTGAATGTTGCGACGATTTTTACCCATGATCATCACTTTCGACGGTTTCTGGAGCAAGTTCGATTAGAGCTGGTTGGTGAACCAGTAGATTATGCTTTTAGGTGTATTTTGGCGAGTTAGTGTAGAGCAACCGAAATAGTAAAAACTTATTGAACCACTTGTAGGACACACTTTTAGGTTGAACACTGGAAAAAAAACCACATTGGATCTGGAGTCCAGACTCTTAAGACATCGACAAGAAAAAGTACTCTTGATTCAATCAGAATCTAGCTTAAATCAAGAACCAAGCCTATTAATCTAAGCGGATTTCGTTTTGATTCAAGCAGAAATCCGATTGAATCAAGAGTATTTTTTCTTATCAATGTTTTCAAGAGTCTGGACTCTAGATCCAATCGCTGAAGTAGAGCTGTTGCGAGAAAAAATACTAAATACCATTCAAATCTATGTAATTAACCTATTTCGCTGAAAGCTTGAGTAATTCCTGATTAAAAACGATAGTAAGTTTAAACTGAAACGGATCAAATTCCACTCCGAAGAAAAATAGAAAAAACCGCCGCACTCAAATCCCTACTTCCGTTTCTTAGCTCACATTATGGATTGCATTTTCCTCTACGTATTAACAACTTATATGCATGGACCACTCCTACAGAATTTCCTTCGAATCAAAATGTTTTTGATCATTCGCGATTTAACACCAATAACTTAAAAGTGACTGGACTTGTGAAAACGACCGAAAATTACCCAATCTTCCAGGTGAGAATTTTCCATAACTACTCGTATTTGGTGAATGCCTGGAGGAGAAAAATCTGGAAATTTTGTCGCAAGTTTGATCCAAACATCTTAAAAATTAAGGGAGGTATCAGTCCTAAAGTTCAAAGATATACAACCGTAGGTCATAAAAACGTGGTTTACGTGTTTACAAAAATTAAGGAACAATTTTTTCCGAAGGATAAGGTCATCCTTCACAGATGCTATCACAAACAAGTATTGATCAGGGTTTATCTTTACGCTGACGCGAAGGAGCTAATGAGGTCCTGGCCTTTCTCACATTCTGTGTGATATTATGACACCGTTTTAAAATAAACGTATATTACTACTACTACCACCTTATGTGTGATATACATACAACGCATTAACAACTAAAATTATTCATAAAAACAACTAAGATTTCTAAGATTTACTGTGCGCGAAGGAGCTTGCATTATCGTAACCGTTCTCACTAACAGTCATGGAAATCGACCCGCATACATTATTCCACGTGAACGTGCGAGAGCGCAGCGCGTATAATTATTTCACTGCTAGGAAACTTCATATGTGTTCTTTCGATTATACCTATGATTGACCCCTGTACTCCTCTTCATTCGAACTGATTCCTACCCAACGATTCCTCTTGCATATAGCATGCGATTTACTATCAGCATCTGCAGCATGTGGCTTTGTCATCTTTTTGTCATCACATCTCACTCATACATCGTGTCACTCAGTCATTAAAACAGCAAGATACACAATCGCCGTGAAGGGGGGCACGCTAACACGAGGACTGGGTGGTGAACGAAAAAGTTGGAAGAAAAGTCATTCGCCTCCTGAACTAGAGAATTAGTTTTAAGTAGAGGAAAAATACGCAAAATGAGCGATTGGTATAGCTTGCATGAAAAGAGCCCTATGAGCGCACGGTTGACAAGCTTCTAGGATTGCAAATCTTATTCCTTGAAAACACTGGCACTACATTTATCTTCATCATAATGAAGAATAGTAGTGCCCAAATTTAGTGGAAATCGACTCGACCCATTGAGAAATTCAATTTAGAATTAAATTAAAGAATTAAAGCAGGAATATCTTCTGTACCTATGAACTTTCTGTCAACAGACATTAAATCAGATCTCTTGCGTTAATCGGGGTATTACATTAAAGAAGCCCAGTTGCTAAACTACACGAGCTGAGTGTCCTGGTTTCAATTTATAAGACAATATGAGCGTTACCCAAGTTGGAGATAAAATTAAGGCAGACTTAAAACTCGCCTTTAAAACTGAGAGATATTACAGAGGGGGAACGTAGATACACAGAGGTGGTAGTTAGGTCATGCGTGTACATACGGTTTAACTTCTGTGTTTATTGGCTGCATGAGTCAAGGAGGAAGTCATCGTAAGTCATGAATCAGCATCAAATACATCACATGAACTTTTTTGAATAGTGTCATTTCTCCGATGGTCTGATCTCCAATTCACATGTCATCGATTACTTGCAGGAATTACTGGTCAAGTAGGATTTCTGATCACTCATTCCATCATTTTCATGTAAATTTGACCCGAATCAGGTCCAAAATTAAGGTGATAAAAGAGCCAGATTGTGAAAGAGGTGAAAAATCTTGAAGAGCAAACTTTAGGTTGAGTCGTGTTGCATGTGTATTGGAGATGCGATCAAAGGAGTTTTTCCCTTTTTTGCATTGTCGTTGCCTGTTTTGCACAAAAATGATGTGAGTTGGTGTTATGCATTTTGTATATTTCATAGGGCTACTTGGAACAATACAAAGAAATCATAGAAAAGCAATGGAGCGAAAAAACAGACCAGTACGGTAACCGCCAGAAATGTGAGTAGAAACTTAGTTCGGAAACAATTCCAGGTATTTTAAGATAAACAATATGGAGATTAAAAATGGGAAACACGGGATGGTGACAACCTGCAACTAAGTATTTTGGAAAACTAGTGTATATATCAAAGTAATTGGTAGATTGGTTAGCGCAGGAATGCTAACCCGATCTACTAGATTTTGATTGGTAGATTACTGAGAAGTTATCTTCAAATACACTGGTTTTTGAAATAATAAGTTTTTTGAAAGGAAACTTGATATGTTTCATTAATTTTTCTCAAGCTCGTATGCACAGTTTGCTTCATACGGACAGGCTGTAAATTTAGCGAGCAACGATTCACATATCGTCGCTGCTCTGACGAAAGGGCGTACCTACCTCTATATTTCCATGTGAGCCCCTGGAAGCGTGGAGTCATGTGGAGGACATGGCTCACGTCGAATTGAGATGTGCCCTTACGTTAGAGGAGCAACGATTTACGTGGACATTCGGACGAAAAATAATCATATCTCATGATTTCCAAATATTCTTAAAAACTAATCATCAGTCAATTATTTCCAAAGTCTTCACACTTCATGACTTCCGAATAGAGTATCACGAAAAACCCATTTCTCGATTGCAATTAAAAAAAAAAAAAAAAAAAAAAAAAAGAAGAAGAAGAATCCTCTACAGAAAATAAAGGTAGAAGAAAAAGATCGAAGTGCTGCTCGTACACTAGAGAAAACTCTGGCTCGACGGACGCCATTTTTTGTGTCATACCGACGTGCGCATCGCATCGATTTGTTCCATAATTTCAGCCACTTGTCATTTTTTTCGAATTTTGAGATGACACTTCTGTTGTCGTGAGACTGAAGAACTCACGTACCAAATTTGACAAAGAAATTCGACGTAATTAAGGCGTGGTTTTTTATAGAGGAAAAATATCGCATTCGACACTAATATCGAAACTGCACTCGAATGCGATATATTTCCTCTAAAAAAAACCACGCCTTTATTACGTTGAATTTCTTCGTCAAATTTGGTACATGAGTTCTTCAGTATCATGACAACAGATGTGCGATCTAAAAAATCGAAACAAATGACAGTAGCTGAAGTTATGGAACCAATCGATGCGATACATCGCACGTCGTTCTGAAAAAAAAGTGGCGTCCGTCGAATCACCTTAAAATCAAGAGTGATGGTTAGTCTGAAAGCCTGCAGAATTAACTGCCGTAATGGGCATTTATAGAGGTGTCTCCAACTAAGTTTGCACCTGCTTACTCCTCGTTCACAAGCTACGGCGATGCAATCGTCCGGGAGGGATCGAGGATCGAGTAGGCTCACGATTGGGTCGCGGTCAATCCGGGATCGCTATTGGACGATAGCATGGCGATCGCTTGCAATTGGAATGTAAACTAGGTCCAACTTATCTGACGACACCTCTAGTTATTTTCAGACTTTTACCACGAGTTCCTTGACTTCCTCAGTGGCTAAGAGTTTCCCAAAATCTGGATTCTTGTGTCGCACAGGAAAAAATAGTCACTGCTTGGATTTAGAGTATAGACTCTTAAGAACATTGACAAGGAAAAATACTCTTGATTCAATCGGGGTTTTTGCTTGAATCAAAAGTAAATTCGCCTAAATCAAGGGGCTCGGCTCTACGATTCAAGGAAAAATCTGATTGAATCAAGAGTATTATTAGGAATGCATTTTGCAATTTGCAACTGTAAATTCTTGCTCTTCTGGAAAAACACTCATGTGCATAGGGAAACTAATGGCACAGACGTCGTTTAAAAACCGGGCTAGAATTTAAAGTTCCAAACTTCAAAATGTAGTCAATTTCTCGTCAATGTTATTATGAATCTGGACTCTAGTTTCGAGCTACTTTTTTTTCCACTGCGCCAAAAACTTTTTCATCCAGGGCATACATTACACCTAAGTTAGGAGAGCGAACCGCAACTGATCGAATAAAATTGCAACCTCGTAATACCGCTTGGCTATTTTTCAGCCAAATTACCGAAATGGTTCGGCGAGCGCCCTGGCAAGAAGAAGGGAGAACCCGAGAGTCCGGAGGAAGAAGAGGTGAAGAAGGACGACGAAGATGCCGACGCAGGCGGCGACGACGAGGAAGAAGAAGAGGTAAGGCATCTCTTGCAAATTATCACCACTTCACATCAAAAAGAAAAATATAAGGAACACGATGAAAAAATATCACTATGAATAAAGTACCTAGGACTTCTATTGAGTATTCCTCAGTGAACAATGAGCCGCTAGATCGATTAAGACTGAAAGATGTGGCTATAAAATATACTATTCCGTTAAATCTTGAGTAGCAGCGCATTAAACATACTAGAAATTTCAAATTTACCTAATTCATGAGAAACAAACGGTTGCATGCTGACAAAAAAGTTACTCTAAGAATATTTCCCGCTAGTGAAAAAGCCAAAACAAGGTGGATCAATTAAAACATTGAAAAAATACTTTCACGTGGGGTAATTAACTTAAGTTTGGTTTTATGCTGATAACCTCCCGCATTGATATGCCGTGTAACTCCATGTTCGTTAAAAAAAAATAAATGAGTAAAAACCAGCACAAATCATAAGTTAGTTCCTTGAAGAACATAACGAAACAAGTTTTGCGCTGGATTTCTTTCGAGAAGACTTTGGTCTTTTGGCAGCGGAAAGTTCGAATCGTCACATACAGAACAGATATTTTTAACCAATGAGGTAGATTTAAAAATTGTGAAAGTATCCACGGTATTTTTCGAGACAATATGTGCTATAATGGTTACTTTCGTAGCCTGTCTGTAGAGGGCCATTCCTTAATTTGCGAGAATTATAAAATGGAGACAGATTGTGATTCAACTTGAAATTCTGATTGAATAGATGAAGGCTAAGAGAATTTAGGAGCCATTTTACGCGTCATTAAATGAAGAAGTAGTTGAGTTATATTTATGGTAATATTGCCAATGATTAGACAAGCGGTCTCGAAACCACAAAAGAAGACTGCATTCAGATCATTTGAGGTGTCGACGTAAGATCAATACCGAGAACCTACAACGGAGGATCGATCGAAAACTTTTCCGTGTTTTAAGTTCAAGATTAATTTCACCGGACACAGTATTACTACTTAGCGGTGAGAGCGATTCTTGCCCAGCTCAAGATTAATTCTGTTGTTACGGACTAATGATAAGAATTAGCCACTCATTCAATAAAAACGAAACTGTAACCTGCATATTATTGGTCGACGCTCCTTACAACGGCATTACCCAAAATTCGATGTTGCCGAAATTGGTTCTTACTGAAATTAGGCGGATCATTCGGAAGGCGATTGATAGATGGGGACATGTTCGATTGCAATGTTGTTAAAGTTGTACATCTTCATATTTACTTGAAAAATGTTGATTGGAGAACAAATAGTGCCTTCTTTTTTTTAAAATTATTGACAATTTTAAGGGGAAATCGTGTAAATTGAATTACACTGCATTTCCATTTAGAATATGTTTTGAGGCGAGAAAGTTGCATGATTTCTAAACTAGTTTCTCTGTTAAAAAGAGGAATCCTTATACCTACGACTAATGGAGATGCAGCATCAATGAGTTTCTTTCCGCCTCGTTCGGAAGTCTTACAGAGAAGTTGCCTCGCTGAAATGAAGGTGTTGAGGTAATGATCAAGGTGTTCTTCATAAATATTTCGTTTCTTTATTTTCAGGGTGAGGAAGAGGAAGAGGAAGAAGCCGAGGAAGAGGAAGAAGAAGAGGAGGAAGAGGAAGAAGAGGAAGAAGAGGAGGAAGAGGAAGAATAAACTGTGTAAGTAGTGACAAATAATTCAAATTAACTGGAAGATTATAAGAAACCTCGGCGAGAAGAGGAAAAATGAGATCAACTTTTGATGAATACAATGAAACACACGATATGATTTTTCCAAGAAGCAACAATGAAGGCTGGCTTCTAAAGGTAGCATACCCTTAAAATCCGACATTTCGTGATCGACATGGTGAAATTTTGAGATGTAAGTAGGTGTTATGCAATCTGCGAAAAATCAGGATCCTGCCCAAAAATAGTTCAGATAGCTTGTCGGAGAAAGATTTGCTAGTCGAAAATTTTACCAATTCGTTACTCTCAGACGAGAAGTCAGCATCTGCACTTTCCGAATAAGTTGCTCGCATTGAGAGAGTGGACAAGGATATTTTCTTCCAATTTCTGGGAATTATTTCTGTATAAATGCAAAAAGTTCGCAGAAAAAATAAAATATACTTCCCACGATTTCTTGGCGCATTAAATAAAACGTGGGCGGATAATTCCAACCATTGAATTGGATATCGGCTTTCTTCGACTTTAGTCATTGATTCGCCATACTGTGAAAAAAATTTCAAATCCAAATGCGCTAACGCGATGCTGATTTCGTGTTTCAGGAAGTTCAACACCGACAATGAACAACATACGAAGAAAATAACTCAAACCTCGTTGGACCGATAACCATTGATGAGAAGAATGCTGAAGCCCCCCACCTTTTGTATAAACATAATCAGAGAAAAGACCATTGCCAATTCTCGTTTACTTAGTTTTAAGGAAACAAAACAAAGAGTCGTCCTATTTTGTACAGAATTGTTAACATTTTAGATAACGTCGGAATGGAAGCGTCGGCCTCTCACCATCCAACGGGCGTCTTCCATGTCTGCTGACTCGGGGGGTCTGGATTTTTACCTACTACCAGCTGTAAATTATTTATTATTTTGTTTCCTTAAAATTCAATAAATGTCTATTTATTTAATTTATTTACCTATTTATTTAACTATAAAAACAATAACAACCAGTCTCTGCCTTTTTATTCCAAGTCCCAGTCCCCTCGTGCCCGGTTGGTTATTCCTCCTAGCGGAGTCGGAGTCACTTCTTATAGATCATATTCGATTGGGGTTCGATGTATCGTTTGGTTAAAGACAATAGAGCATAACCTCAAACGAAAATTTTATGATTTAAATAGGAAAACCTAAAAATAAGACAATTCCTCACAATCACTTGTTATCCGATTTTAGATGATAGCTATTTCGATGTTAATCATCATCATCAGGTCACATCGACTTCGATTTGGTAAACGCTAAAAGTCACATCGTATATTATTAAAATTTACTAAAAAACACTATTAAAACACTCGTGGGTGCANTAATAGTGTTTTTTAGTAAATAGTAAATTTTAATAATATACGATGTGACTTTTAGTGTTTACCAAATCGAAGTCGAAGTGACCTAATGATGATGATTAACATCGAAATAGCTATCGTCTAAAATCGGATAACAAGTGATCGGGAGAAAGGTAATATCTTCAAACAAAATGCAGCCCGATAAAAAGAAGTTCAACTTTAAATTCCTCACAAGTTTACTTTCCATTACTATTAAATACGCATAAGAATAAAGAAACTATCCCTAGAAACCCGTTCTCTCAGATCACTCGATTGACTTTTGAAGCTATGTTTACATTTTGCACCAATCGATATCAATACAATTTCACCTGTTTGATGTATCGAATACGATCCATTCATAAAGCCATATCGGCGTGTTCCGCCGTGCTAAGGAAGAAGGACGTTTAGGACGTGTTAACATTAGATAGCTGCCAAATTTTCCTTGATAAACACACATAACGACGAAATTCATGCATATTTTTCCATGAAATTTTCAGATATTTTAGATTAAATTGTGTGTAAGATGGTCTGGAAATTTTGGAAAAAAATATTCACAATCTTCCTAATGAAGTCGGTGTTTATCGAAGGAAACTTGGCAACGTCTGAAGGCTCATCAGTGCTTTTAAATAAAACGCCGCCTTTTTCTGCCAATTTCTAATCTGTGAGCGTAGTTGTTGTGTGAGTAAAACGCAGCCACGAAAGCAAGCAAGAGATAGTACTTAAGAAGTGTATTATAGGAGGACTGGCAGTTTAACCCGTGCTACGCACAGACAGTGTCATCTAGAGTTCCTATCCGTGTCTACATGTTAAAAAGTATCAAGAGTGGCGGTAGCCACCCCCGGTCGAGGAAAATGACGTCCTACTAAAGTCCCGATAACAAACGGGTGGCCGACACTCTTAGTCACAGGCAACTCCCTTAATCTGAAAATTGATTCGATTTAGAATGGAATTCAGAGCAAACGGCGGCACGGATTCCAACGATCTTGGTGTCTATGGACGCAGCTAAGTTAGCCGGATGGCGTTTAAGGGTTTCATTAAGATCCATGGAGTTTTCAAAAAGTTATAAGCACTTAATGACCCAAAACAAGGAAAATTTTACTTTTTACTTTGCCGGGAAATTTGAATTTCAAGAATCCAGGGTCCTGAGAAAGTCACTCAAANAGGACCGAACATGGTCTATCTCCTGAACAATATTATGGTCAAAAAATTTAGTTGAACAGAAATATTCTGACAATGTGCGTCAGCTGCCTACAGACCCAACTTATCTCAATGAGTATCTTGCAGAACTGGAGCAAATTGAGATTGAGAACGATGGATGTGGTTTTCATTTTAAGCACTTGATTGACTTTTTGTCTATCGTATCATTAGAAGACATAATATATTTCGAATTTAGAGCTATGGCTATCGTGCCAGACCCACTGATAGACGACGGAAATGATGGGAAAGAGATATATTCACGGCTGAGACGTAACATTTTAAATACCCACAAATATTGACTACTGCATGTAGTGAAGCCTCGTTTTAGTTGAGTTTCCACGTTACTATTTTTCATGTACTCAGGCCGTTTTGTAATTCTTTGTTTTTTTTTTTGTTTTTTGTTTTTTTTGCAGTCTAGTTCTAATTTTAAATCCTTTAGGTGGTGTCATCTATGTCGATTGCAACGTTGATGGCTCTAAGTTAATTCCTTTTCAATATCTAAACTGAGAACCCTAAGTGTCTGTCTACCCAGATAAGACATAATATTTTTACAATATTGGGCAAATATTGTCAGTAGTGTCGGTTAGAGGTCAGTAGGTCTAGGTTGGTGTGAAACGTTATGTATACAAAAATAATTAAGTGCTACCAAAATAAATACGAGGCGGAAAAAAAGAAGAAATCATTCATACTTTCGACTTTCACACATGTTACGACCCCACTTGTCCAATGAGTTCCAACGGATATAAGAACACGATGCCAAGTTTCGCGGGTGGGGGGATATCTCATTTGAAGGCGCGCGCGTTTTTTCCGATTCGCAAACGTAAGCTTCCCCGGGCAGACTCGGGCTCCCGAAGTCCCGACCGCTTTATTATCCTCTAGGGGCTGCACCCCCCCCCCCCACCCACTCTATTCCCAGCAGCGAAAAAATTGGTTTGAACTCGAAATCAAAATCCCCAATGCCGGCTGCAAAAGTGAGTGTGGTGGCCCCTCCCCCTCTCAAAACCACGGGCGTAATTTTATTCGTTTATTTCTTGTAAGGTAGTAAAGTAAAGTTTTTCACATTCTTTTATTGTGCTTTTACGTGCCTGCCGGTTATTTGCTGTGTTGACTCGCCTTTCGCAAGTTATAGTTAAGGTAAGTTATAAGTATCTTATGTATTGTGTTTAAACATATTTTGACTATTTATGAAAAAACCCATCCATATTCTACCACTCAAATATTTCTATTATGAAAAAGCATTCTACCCCTGTCCTCAGATAAAAATTTCGAACTATATGAGCATATTGTGTAATTACTGTAATTGTTCACAAGAGAATAATTTTTTCCCAATTTCTTCTCTTAATTATTTTCCCTGTGGTGAATACAGTCAACCTGTATAACTACACCCAATTTCTCTTCTGTTTGACCGATTATGAATCAGGCCTCTGTCGTTTTATGATAAAGAGTAAAGATAACCACTTGCAAAATTCATAAAAAAAATGTTTCCAAAAAAATTTGTTTAATCTAGCAGGGCGATAAAATTGGCGATTAGGCGTATATATAGGGCTCTACTTTGGCTCAACTCGGCATCGTTACGCCCGAGCTCGGTGCCAGCGACGTGCGAGAAATACCCGTGGCTCACTGCTCATCGCTCGTGGGTCCTACTTTAAGTACTACCAAGTATTTATTTATTATATCCAGGGCGATCCAAAAGGGCCTTCCACCCCCTCTAACATTTTACCCAATTACGGTAAAGAGTTGGAGCTTGAGGAATGTTTTTTGGTCGAAGGAACGTACTTTTTTCCCCCTGAAATTTTCAGGGGAGCTTCCTTTGGGGGGGGGGGGTTCAAATGAGACCCCTCTTGTGATAAGTCGTTCAAAAAAGTAGGTATAAAAAAAGAAAACTTTTCGCGCAAACCCGAAGTCAATATCTCAAACCGTTTCAAAATGGCGGCCGGTTAAAGTTCAAAATGGCCGAAAATTCACACCGGTTATTTGTCGATGGATATGCGCAAAAATCGGTATTTGGGGGGTATTTTGACACGAGAAAAACGAATTTGACGTTAGATTTTCAAACAAACCGAAATTTCCAAAATGGCCGCCGGTTAAAGTTCAAAATGACCAAAAATTGATTTCTTTTAGAAATCTAAATTCAAATTTGTTTATCTTATGCCAAAATACTCTCAAATTCCAAGTTTTAGGCAAATCCATTAGGAAAAAACCGAGGTGACAATTTCCGGCCATTTTGAACTTTAACCGACGGCCATTTTGGAAATTTTGGTTTTTTTGAAAATCTATCGTCAAATTCGTTTTTCTCGTGTCAACATACCCCAACACACCGATTTTCGCGCAAATCCACCGACAAATAACCGGTGTGAATTTTCAGCCATTTTGCACTTTAACCGGCCGCCATTTTGAAACGGTTTGAGATATTGACTTTGGGTTTGCGCGAAAAGTTTTCTTTTTTATGCTCTTTCGAACGAGCTATCACAAAGGGGGTCTTCCTATTTGAAAATTAAAAGTTGGGGGCCATCCCCCTCAAGGGGGCCCCCCTGAAAATTTTAGGGGGGCCAAAAAGTAGCTCCCTTTGACCTAGGAATATCCCCCAAGTTTCAAATCTTTACCTCAATTAGGTAAAAAGTTAGAGGGGGTGAAAGGGACTTTTGGATCACCCTGTATATGAAATTAGGCTAAAAGAAGTATTATTTGTCAATTTTCAACTTATAAATACTGCACAAATGGTATAATAAAACTGCTTAAATTTCATTCTGGGGTCGAGGGATTATTTTCGCAAAAATTGTCGGGGGAGCCCCCCCCCCCCCCCCCCCC